GCTCCAGGCTGGCTGCCAGCCCTGCCCTGCCCGCCCCCTCCCCGGCGCAGCCCCCCGCGCCATGGCCCGGCTGAGACGCAGAGCCTGCATCGCCCTCTTCCTCTTCACCCTCTTCATCTTCGGCACCATGATGGGCCTGCGGACGCTGAAACCCTCCGACGGCTTCTCAGACCTGGCCCCGGGGCTGGAGCTGGCGCCCTTCGTGGAGCGAGGGGAGAGGCGCGCTGTCTCCCATGAGGCTGTCTCCCGCCCCCAGGTGGCTACCAGCAGCGATGCCAAGGCACCGACGCCTCCCATGTACTACGACCTACACATCTTCTACTACATGTGGCAGGGGAACCCCCCCTCTGATGGAAAGTACCTTCACTGGGACCATGTCATGGTGCCGCACTGGGACCCCAAGATATCTGCCAGCTACCCCAAAGGGCGGCACAGCCCCCCAGAAGACATTGGCTCTAGTTTCTACCCTGAGCTGGGCCCTTACAGCTCCAGGGACCCGGAAGTGCTGGAGGAGCACATGAACCAACTGAAAGCCGCAGCAATTGGTAAGGATGCTCTGGCTTGTGTGTCGTCATTATTTCGTCAATACACCCTAACGCTTTCCTAGATGTTGGGTACCAGACGAGGCCCCAGTCCTTCAAGCTGATCTGTACAGCTGAGCTTCTGCACCCTAGTGAAGCCAGTGGTGTTCCAGGCACAGGCCTGCTTGCTGGAGGAGTTTCTGGGTGAACAAGATAAGAATTTTTAACATACTGGGGAAAGGCCAATTGGTGCCAAGGGGGTTAAGTTAACTAAGATGTAAGCACCAAGAAAAGGAGACACTGAAGAACATAAGAATGGCCAGAGTGGGTCAGACCAAAGATCCATCTAGCCCAGTATCCTGTCTACCAACAGGGTCAATACCAGATGCCCCAGAGGGAGGGAATACAACAAGTAATCATCACGTGATCCCTCTCCTGTCATCCATTTCCACACAGAGCCGGGATGGGTCGGAATTTTGTCCTTAGCCTAATAGCCATTGATGGACCTAACCTCCATGAATCAATCTAGCTCCTTTTTGAATCCTGTTAAAATCCTAGTCTTCACAACACCCTCTGGCAAGGAGTTCTACAGGTTAGCAGTACAAAGCAGGTGCAGTAGCAGTAATAGGAATTAATTAAAGGAAATTGTAGACTGAACAGAAAAGAAAATGTACCGTATAGTGTTTCTCCAAATGTTTACCTGCGTGCTTAATTTTACTTAGGTCAGCCTTATCCATGTTTGTTGATCTCCTCAAAGAATTCTGATCAATTGCTGGGGGATAAGTTCCCTTTTCAAAAGATTCTTCCTGGATATATCATGTTGGGGTGATTAAAATGGTGAAGACGCTCATCTTGGTTGTAGGACATGAAAAATTAGATTTTCCTTCTGTGAACTGAAAGATCAGTTATTTACCCAGCTCTAGATGGAAGAGGTTTAACAATCCTCATTTAAGTTCCTAGGAGATTCCTGGGTGGAACCCTTTTCACTTTATGGGCTCCCCACCTGCATCGACTGATGTCATAACAAGAAGAGGAGGGAATGGGGGACCCGGGCCTACCCTCTCCACCCGGTCCCAGCCCAGGGCCCTTAAGAGCAGGGGCACATTCCCCTGTCTAGGTGGTAGGGGAACACCACCTGAAACATGCCAGCCCGTGGGCTATTCCTGTCCATGCCAGCCCTGGGCTGCTTCTTCTCCCTCTTTCATAGTCCTCCTCATCCGGGCCCCATCCAGTGTGTGGCTGAGTCCTGTGCCCAGTCTCCCACCATCAGGGTGGGCCGCGTCTGCTCTCCAGCAGCTGCTTATACCATCGGCTGAGTCTGCCGCCTTCCCGCCCTTCCCCACGGTGCGGGCCTGCTGCCGCCCTCCTCCCCCCTGCTCTCGTGCTGGGGGCCGCCTTCTAAACTTGCCGCCACTTGTACTCCTTGTCCTGGCTCTGCGCCCCTGCTGCTTCATGCTGGGAGGCACCGGGCAATCGCTGTCACGTGGCAGTTGGGGTTGACTACCCCCCTCAGCCCCTAGGGCGTGTCCAGCTTGAGAGCGGGGCTCAGGTGCCCCATCACAGGCTTCCACCAGCCTTGGTTACTACTTGAAGGGTGACCTCAAAACACTCTCAGTTCTGAATTTCTCCCAAAACTATGTGCCCTGAAGTAGACAGCCTGAAGTCAGCTTATAGTAAAATAGAACAGATTTATTGACAATAGGAGGACATAGATTAAGTGATGTAACTAAGTAAAAGGAACAAAGCTAGAAAGTTTTACAAATAGATAGATGTGAAAACACACATCTAAAATGAAATCAAGCAACATACAGGCTTTGTTCAAGATGGTTTCTCTCACCACTCATCATTTTTCACAGCCACGGCTGACTTTTTCTTTCAGTAAGGACCTTACATAAAAGTACATGCTACAAGACTTCCCTTGTCATCTCAGGTGAAAGATTTTTTTATTGAAGCAGGTTTCTCACCTATATTCAGTTTCCAGGAATTCAACCCCGCTATCCTCCTTGGTTGAAGGACCTATCTTTCTTACGTCTCAAGGGCTCTACTCCTTTTTCTGTCTAGTGATGGATACCAAAAATGGCTTCCATCCTTCCTTCTATCTTCCAAAGTTCAATGACTTTGTTTCAGGAGGCACAATGCTATTCTTTCCTTCCCCTTGAATTGCATGATTTCTTGGTTAATAGGGTTTCAATTGTTTTATTCCACCAGTCTTAATTACATAGAAAACAGGTAGATAGTTGCAATATTCCCTCGTATCTGGGCAGATTATACAGCTTAATGTCAATGAGCATCCATAATTCCTGAAGTGGTGTTGATACATACATGTCACAATTATATTAATCACCAGTGTGTCATTAACTTTTGGGAAAGAGCTCACACTACATGCTTTTATAAAGCAGCAACCTTGTATACAGTTGCTTATCACTTGAGGTTCACTCCCCATCTTTATGGTTCACTCAGCCTTAGAAATGGATTCTTTTGAGAAAGTAAAACCCAGAGCAAGCTTTTTTCCCCTGCTGGGTGTTTAGCTGCCAGACTTCCTTCTTCCCCACTTGTTTAGTGTGAGATTTGCTTCCATGCTAGGATGGGTCTGTTTACTGTTTATATGTAAATTGAAGTAAACACACATTCCTTTATTTTTGATAAACCTGTTTAACAACTCCCCAGATTTACCTGTTTTTAACACAATTTAATTATAATTCCAGCACATAGTTTTAACTCTTATTACCTAACATGCACATATATCACAAAATAATATCAGTGATCAGGGAGTTATTAGCTTTCAAATGATACCTCCCAAGACTTATTTTCAACAAAAAATTTTACAGAAGTGTGTATGATGTGAATACAGGGGTATTTAGTGTCACAAGTTCCCTTCACTGACACTAGTAGAGAAGAAACCACATCAGAAGGATGAGATGGGAGGACACCCCATAGAGTTGTATGGATGCATTTTGTGTATTTGATTCAGGTTGAAACCTTCAGGACATTAAGTAGAAATTAAAAAAAAACCAGCTTTTGGTTACTTAATCTATGTGAAGTTCTGGGCCAGGAGAATTTATGCAAAACCCTATGGTCCTGTGAGAGCTTTTCGCTAATTGCTAGATTCCATTTTACTCTCTTTGGTGACCATGCTTCGCTGAAGTACCCTTTCAGCTAGTGGCCAGTCAGGGATTGATTTGTAGTCTCACATTCTGTAAATCCTGGTGCTATTGCTGCCTTCAATCTCAGTGAAACAATTAACCTCCCGGAGGCATTAAATAAATGCCTTTTCATGTCACATCTGTTCATATTTCTTATTGGGCCTTCCTTTCGGAGCAGGATCTCTTAGATCTTCTTCCTCATGGCAGAACAAACATTAGAGGATGTGATTGGGTGGACAAAACCTTGACATCCCTGTTGGAGACCTTTCAGCACCCTGGCCAACAGCAGGAGCAGTAGAGAAGTCCTCCGAGCAGAACAGAGGGGCAACCTCTGCTGCAGCCAATCAGGGTGCAGCAGGCTGATATAAAAGAAGCTGCTGGGCGAAAGCCTGCCAGTTCCTTGCTGGAGCTTGACCCAGGCAAACCTAAGGGCTAACTGGGGGAACAGCAGCACTCCAGAGAGCTCCAAGTGGGAGTTGGACTTCAGACCTGGTCAGAACCAGGTCCAGCAGCTGAAGACTAGCCAGTAAGAGAACAGCAACACTTTGCAGGACTCTGGACAGGGAGGACTTGACTACAAGGCCCAAGAGAAAGGGGCTGTACAGAGCAGCTTCCCGGGGAAGTGGTTCAGGAAATGTGACAGCAACCAACCTTTTTGAGACTCAGAAGGTAACTGCTACTTACCGGGTCTCTGGGCTGGGACCCAGAGGAGTGGGCGGGCCTGGGTCCCCCAAAACCTCCAGCAGCTAGCCAGACAGCTGGGTAGAGAGACAACAAGACTCCCCGCACTCACAAGAAGGGCATAGCCCATTACACACAACTACCTCTTGGAGATGAAGGAGGGTTATGAAAATAAGAGTTCAGTGGATAAGAGCCTTTTCGCTTGCTCATAGGTCTACACTATTTTTGGGTTGTGATCTACAGCACCATCATGCCAAAGGAGGTCTCTGTAGAAGAAAAGCCACTATTTAGTACTTATAACAGGCATTAGCTGTGAACCAAGTGGCCACACTTGATTGTTCTACCCACAAGGCTACTAAAAATCTTCTGGAGTAATTCCTTGATTCCTTCTGGCAGAGGAACTTCTGATAATTTCCAGGCTTCCACGACTACTCTACCTAGCAATACAGGATTTGGAAGCTCTGAGTTCTTGGCACTTTGGGTGGAGGGTCATGAATAGAAAGGCCTGTCTTTCTGTGGATTCTGTATGCATGAGAGGGATTTTCAACACTTTTCTGTCATTTAAGGTATGCTACACCTTTTGAATTGGGTGTTAAGGTTTTGAGTAATATAAGGGAAGCATCGCTTCTTGGGAAAGGAGGAATTCACATTAAGAAGGAAGGATTCTGGGTATTTAGAGCATCACATTGTCCTCCTGGACCACGTTGTAAGATTCTTCTGTAGATAAGGCTGTCTGCTCCAACACATGACTGACAGACATGGCAACTACTAGGAGACATGTCTTAATGGATAAATAAGAAGCCAACACTGACATTGAAGGCTTGAAATGAGGACTTGTCAAGGCCCACAAAAATAGTGGAAGGTCCCATTTGTTAAGAGTAGCATAAGCAATGTTAGTTGGATGTAGACAGTCTGCCTGGGAGCCCACGGATCCTGTGAATAGCAAGATATTAAGACCAGGCATCTGATACACAATACTGGGCTGAAGGGCTCCAACTATACCTTTTTGGAGAAAATCCAAAACAGCTGGACTTCCAGGATATCTGGGATTTTCCTTGTGTTCTAGCCACCAGTTGTATAAACAACAAGAAGTCCTGCAAGCTGAGCTGTACAGCTGAGCTTCTGCACCCTAGTGAAGCCAGTGGTGTTCCAGGCACAGGCCTGCTTGCTGGAGGAGTTTCTGGGTGAACAAGATAAGAATTTTTAACATACTGGGGAAAGGCCAGTTGGTGCCAAGGGGGTTAAGTTAACTAAGATGTAAGCACCAAGAAAAGGAGACACTGAAGAACATAAGAATGGCCAGAGTGGGTCAGACCAAAGATCCATCTAGCCCAGTATCCTGTCTACCAACAGGGTCAATACCAGATGCCCCAGAGGGAGGGAATACAACAAGTAATCATCACGTGATCCCTCTCCTGTCATCCATTTCCACACAGAGCCGGGATGGGTCGGAATTTTGTCCTTAGCCTAATAGCCATTGATGGACCTAACCTCCATGAATCAATCTAGCTCCTTTTTGAATCCTGTTAAAATCCTAGTCTTCACAACACCCTCTGGCAAGGAGTTCTACAGGTTAGCAGTACAAAGCAGGTGCAGTAGCAGTAATAGGAATTAATTAAAGGAAATTGTAGACTGAACAGAAAAGAAAATGTACCGTATAGTGTTTCTCCAAATGTTTACCTGCGTGCTTAATTTTACTTAGGTGAGCACTCACACTGAAGTTAAGGGGGGACCTAACCTCCATGAATGGGTCAGACCAAAGATCTATCTAGCCCAGTATCCTGTCTACCAACAGGGTCAATACCAGATGCCCCAGAGGGAGGGAATACAACAAGTAATCATCACGTGATCCCTCTCCTGTCATCCATTTCCACACAGAGCCGGGATGGGTCGGAATTTTGTCCTTAGCCTAATAGCCATTGATGGACCTAACCTCCATGAATCAATCTAGCTCCTTTTTGAATCCTGTTAAAATCCTAGTCTTCACAACACCCTCTGGCAAGGAGTTCTACAGGTTAGCAGTACAAAGCAGGTGCAGTAGCAGTAATAGGAATTAATTAAAGGAAATTGTAGACTGAACAGAAAAGAAAATGTACCGTATAGTGTTTCTCCAAATGTTTACCTGCGTGCTTAATTTTACTTAGGTGAGCACTCACACTGAAGTTAAGGGGGTACTTGCATGACTCAAGTTAAGCAGGATGGGAAACACAGTTATAAACCCCAGGGTGTTAAATGCACCTTTACCTGAGTGCAAGGATTTGAAAGACTGTCATGCTACAAACTGAAGTAAAATGTCTACATGCAGACTACTAGAAAACACTGATTACAACTGGTCGAAAAAGCAGCTTGTAGCAAAGCTACCAATTTTCAAAAGTTGTTTGAATAAACTGCATGCCTTTTGCCTTCACAAAAAGTAAAAAACTTATTTAAGACCCTCAGAAGGCATTGTTGGAATGAAAATAATACTGACAGGTTGGGTACATTCTGTGCTTGCCTTAAAGGCTGTTTGCTTTTCAACTTGCATATTTTGCTGTTGAGCTTGCACAGTGTAGTAGTATACATACAGCAGACCAATTATATATTGTATTAAACAGCCTCATTAGCACTGGTGCCAAAGTGTATTTTATTAAGCAATCGGCCCCTTCAGGTTTGTGCGCTATACATGTTCACATAGGACAAGTGAATTCCAAAATTAAACAAATGCTATAAATTGCCAAATCTGACTCTTGAATGGGGCAGATGTCCCAGCTCTCACGATATGAAAGGTTTTAGGGAACCTTTGACTCCAAACATTAAGGATCTCTGAGATGTGGCAGCCTACTACCTCCCTAGCATTGGGCTGAATCAGTGGTACATTCACTGTCATCAGCACCTCTTTAGGTAGCATTGGGTGTGTTTGATCTTGGAGATTTCCCATCCAAGTACTGGCCTAACCCAGCCCAGTCTGCTTTCAAGGTCAGGTGGGATCACCTGAGGAAGGTAGCCTGAACCTGATCAAAACAATCAACATTGGCTCTGTTCCAGTGAAAATTGCATACATTTGAGTAAGTTAATGACATCATTATGTGATTGTTAATGAAATAGTGAGCAAGAGGAAGTCAGTTGCACCAGTTCATCCTAATTTGGCCTTGTACTAAAGTGGCTTTGTTTGCCCTGGATTCAGTATAGTTCTCCAGCCATCACCTAAGATGCAAGTAGCTTGCTAGTTTGGGACTGTTAAGTACAGATGAAATTTCAGCACCTCCCTACTGTGGACAGCTCCATTATTAAATTACAGTGTTGGTGAACAAAAGCTTCTTTATAGACAGATACTTTTCATTTGAAAGAGGTCATGGTGTTTACCAGCTTTCTGTCAATTAACCCTTTCCTTTTCAAATGCAGTGTCTTTGTGCTATAACAGATTTAAAACAGCCATGCTGCAGATCTTCCACATAACTAAACAGGAACGTATTATTAATCCAGACTAGGGTCTTTCCACCATGCACTTGCTCAGGCACTTGGCACTCCCCCTCTTATAGAACTCTGCCAATGGTGATGCTATTGAGGAGTAGGAATTTTAACTGCATCCTGAGGAATTCTCAAGTTATTACCCTGCTACTAATTATACCTAACAGTGTGACCATCCTGCAAATGCTTGAAGATAATTATTCCCATCTCCCCACACCTGGGTGTCAAGACATAGGCTCTATCCAGCCTGGAGCCTATCACCCTCCTATTTTAAGGGGTTTCCTCAAATCTGAGCTGTAACTCCTTTGACAACTAAACTTAGAGCACACTGTGCAGTTAGACTGACTCGAAACAACGGGAGTTGTGGTGCTGTGGGGGAGAGGCAGAAGGCAGGCAGGGTTTAAATATCATTGCATTTGGTTGGTCCTGACCTGCAACTTGTCGCAGGGGTCCTGGTTTTGTCATGGTACCCTCCTGGCTTGGCAGATGATAACGGGGAGCCATCAGATAGTCTGGTGCCATTTATCTTGGATGCCGCACACAGATACGCCATAAAGGTAAGGTTGCTCTCTCTCTCTCATTGTTTGAAGCTATTAAACTAATTGCTCAAATTAAGCAGGAGTTGCCGCTGTGCTTCTCTGGCAGGAGCCTGCTCTTCTGTCTCAGTGGCTTTGTGTTATTTTTAACTGCTCATTATGGGAGGCAGTGGGGAGTCTTTATTTTGCCACAGCTGAGCACAAACAAGCATCACTTCATGACAGGGCTTAACAGCTTGTTTTCACAAACATTAAAACTAATCTGGACAAGGCTACTATAAAAAGCATTTTTGCACCAGCTTCCAGGACAGGTGACGTGCCCTATTATGATGGAACGAACCCTCAGCTAGTTTGCTGCAAGGGGGCAGGCAAGGTAGCGTCTGTCTAGGGATATAAAATTCCATGTAATTGGGGAACTGGTTAAACATGAAGCAAACTTCACATTTAACCAGTTATCCAATTGGAGTGCCCCTCCCGCCACAATCTGGCTGGAGTGGCCCCTGCTTGCAGCCCCCCAGGTCCACCGCAGACGGGGCAGCTCCATATGCCAGGAGCAGCTCCTGTTTGTGATGCACCCATGGAGCTTGAACAGGCTCAGCCCCCACCAGTTAACCGGAACCGGTAAGCATCACCCATGAAAGGTGATGCTTACCAGTTAATCTATCACATTCCTACTTCTATCAACTTGGGATGGGCATTGTGACTTCTTCAGAGGGCTTGGGATCTGCTGACTTTGCCACCTGAAAAGCATGTGCTGTAAGATCACCGTCACCCCATCTCTGGGATTTATTTTGAAGGTTGCCTTCCACATCCAGCCGTACAAAGGGCGTGATGACCACACTGTGCATGAGAACATTAAATACATCATAGACAGGTAAGTGCTTGGCCTTCAGTAGCTGCCACGAGCGCGCATTTCAGGCCCAACAATGGGGTGGGATACAAAGCAGAGTTTCAGGCTAGCCATGTCTCACTTGCTCTGTGTGTGAACTCAGTGGCTACATCTACACTGGCATGATTTTGCCCAAGAACTCTTTTGCAGAAGAGTTCTTGTGCAAAAACTCTTCCAGAGGAGAACGTCTACACTGGCATGTGCCTTTGCGCAAGGGATGTGCTTTTGCGCAAGAGCATCCATGCCAGTGAAGACGCTCTCTTGCGCAAGAAAGCTCTGATGGCCATTTTAACCATAGGGCTTTCTTGCGCAAGAAATTCATGTTGCCGGTCTACATTGGCCTCTTGCGCAAGAACAGTTGCGCAAGAGGGCTTATTCCTGAGCAAGAGCATCATAGTTCTTGCGCAAGAAGCACTGATTTCATACATTAGAACGTCAGTGTTCTTGCGCAAGAACTCACGGCCAGTGTAGACAGGCAGCAAGTTTTTGTGCAAAATGTAGACACAGCCAGTAAGTTATGCTGCAGGGTGCAGTAGCAGAGAAACTCAACACAACATCATATAATTGTTTATAAATCACCTTTTACACATATGGCCTCCTCAGCAACCCTGAAGAGTATATTAGCCCCAGAGTCTGTAGAAGAAGCCATTGCCAGAAGTCTTAACAAGAAAATCAGATGTAAATGCTGGGGAAGCTTTTCCCCGAGGGTCACTAGCTGGAATGTAGGCGAGCCAGGCAGTACCCCAAAGCTGTTACCAGTTTGTAAATGGGCATGTGTCCATGCAGCGTTTATTGGCACATCGAGGGCAGTCGTCCCTGCAAGTTGTCTCGAGTGTAAGCTAGTCTGACGGGAGCCTACCAGGAATGCAACAAAGCTTTCCTCTTCCTCCAGGCATTCCCTTGGGGTGATAGAGTGGGTCTGAAATGCTGGTCAGTCCAGTGCAAATCCTCACTTGTGTCTATCCGGGGGCAGTGCAGCCGAACCACTCTGGTAATGGCAACACAGGGTGCATGGGAAGGATGAAAGTGAAGCATGCAACTGAGGTGGGTGCCAGGCTGCACTTGCCTGGTAATGGGAATACCTGCCTGCTAGTCAACATGGGGCTTGCTCCCCGGCTCCCGATCTCTCACGGAAATGCTGTGTGCTCTCTCTAGGTATGGCTCACACGCAGCTTTTTATAAGTACAAGACCAGTACAGGACGGAGCCTCCCATTATTTTACATTTATGATTCTTATCTGACACCTCCCGAATCCTGGGCCAACCTCTTCACCCCGTCGGGCTCTCATTCCCTGCGCAATACCCCGTATGATGCAGTGTTCATAGCACTGCTGGTGGAAGAAGGACACAAGCATGACATCCTCTCCGCAGGATACGATGGCATGTACACGTATTTTGCATCCAATGGCTTCTCTTTCGGATCATCCCACCAGAACTGGAAAACTCTCAAAGCCTTCTGCGACTCAAACAACCTGATGTTCATTCCCAGCGTCGGCCCAGGCTACATTGACACTAGTATCCGCCCATGGAACAACCACAACACTCGTAACCGAGTCAATGGGAAATATTATGAAACAGCTCTGCAGGCGGCACTCATGGTGCGGCCGGAGATTGTCTCCATCACTTCCTTCAATGAGTGGCACGAAGGCACTCAGATTGAGAGAGCCGTCCCTAAGAAGACACTGACACGCCTGTATCTGGACTACCTGCCGCATCAGCCGAACATGTATCTGGAGCTGACCCGCAGGTGGGCAGAACACTTCAGCAAGGAGAAGGAGCAATGGCTGATGTGATCATTCTGCATGGGAAGCCTCCATGCTCTACAGCCTGTCCTTCCTCTACGAAAAAGGTCACAGTCAAAAGAATCGGTTGTGAGATGGGTGCTTTAAGAAGCCGTTGGGAAAGCAGCTTATGAGTCACAGTGTCTGATCAGGGCTGGTAGGTTTATCCAGTGTTCTCCATGAACAGCCCGGAGGATGGTTTACAGCACCAACTCAACCACCACAGGTTGAAATGTTAGTGAGTGGAGGAGTCTCTACGCAGCTCTCAGATCTACTGCTGCTGTGAGTTTAGGACAAATGTCCCTTTTAAACCCTTCTGGATCTGAACTGGCCTGTAAGTGACCAGACCAGGGAGTGAATGAGCAAGAGATCAATTTTTCCTCCGGTGCAGATGTTTAGTGTGGTATTTTACGTATAAGCTGGGCTCCTAGCCCTAGCATGTATTTTATCCTTGGCCCCTTCACCAGTTGCCTGCTGATTATATACTCCTCACTCCACTAGCAGCTCTTAAGAGTGTGACTCCCCTTCTTAGTTGATTAAAGAGTTAATTGTTCCTCAAAATTGTTTATCATAGAAGAAACTAAACCATGCAGTTGACGACCCTTTGGTGCGGGGTGGCATCTGTGATCCATTCTACCCAAATAACTAAAAATAATTAGAGCTTGAATGCTGGTGATTTTAAACCTATTGTATGTATTGGCCACCAATGGACTGCAAATGCTCTTTTAGTGTTTCACATGTTCAAAACTTAGCCTTAACTTTGTTTTACTCTCCTCTCTAGAATCAAAAGACGTGCAACCAGTGGCAATAAACTGTAACAGAAAACACTAATGTGTTCTCCCAGAAGGAAGTTACATCACTATAGAATAAATATCCTTTTTAGTAACCATGGTACATGCAGGCCCTTCTAAATCGGTTGTTTTAAGAACTCGTTTGTACTTGTCTTTTTCTTAATAAAGTGAGAAGTGGCAGCTTTAGATCTGAGTGCATGAAACTACCTTTTTACATTAATTATGCTTAATTTATACAGATTTGGACTTGCTGCAGTTAAAGTGCTAGTGGTTTTGTTTTTCTCCATTGAAATCACTGACATTTGCATTACATCTGGCATATCGCTCCAGGTCAGTAGTTCTCCACGTGTGGTCCACAGACCGTCTTGCAGCCCCCACCAGCTCAGGGCTCACCTCCTCTGCAGCAGGGAGCCTGCACTGGCACTCCAGCAATATCTCCCCTTCCCCCACAAGATTGGAGCACCCGCACTGGTTTCTCTTGGCGGGGGAGGCCTCACAGACCAGATCCGGCTCACTGAGAAGGAAGTTCTGCCTGCTGCCACTGCCCCTCCCTCCGGCTGGGGGACCAGCAGCAGGGCAGTCGTCCCTGCAAGTTGTCTCGAGTGTAAGCTAGTCTGACGGGAGCCTACCAGGAATGCAACAAAGCTTTCCTCTTCCTCCAGGCATTCCCTTGGGGTGATAGAGTGGGTCTGAAATGCTGGTCAGTCCAGTGCAAATCCTCACTTGTGTCTATCCGGGGGCAGTGCAGCCGAACCACTCTGGTAATGGCAACACAGGGTGCATGGGAAGGATGAAAGTGAAGCATGCAACTGAGGTGGGTGCCAGGCTGCACTTGCCTGGTAATGGGAATACCTGCCTGCTAGTCAACATGGGGCTTGCTCCCCGGCTCCCGATCTCTCACGGAAATGCTGTGTGCTCTCTCTAGGTATGGCTCACACGCAGCTTTTTATAAGTACAAGACCAGTACAGGACGGAGCCTCCCATTATTTTACATTTATGATTCTTATCTGACACCTCCCGAATCCTGGGCCAACCTCTTCACCCCGTCGGGCTCTCATTCCCTGCGCAATACCCCGTATGATGCAGTGTTCATAGCACTGCTGGTGGAAGAAGGACACAAGCATGACATCCTCTCCGCAGGATACGATGGCATGTACACGTATTTTGCATCCAATGGCTTCTCTTTCGGATCATCCCACCAGAACTGGAAAACTCTCAAAGCCTTCTGCGACTCAAACAACCTGATGTTCATTCCCAGCGTCGGCCCAGGCTACATTGACACTAGTATCCGCCCATGGAACAACCACAACACTCGTAACCGAGTCAATGGGAAATATTATGAAACAGCTCTGCAGGCGGCACTCATGGTGCGGCCGGAGATTGTCTCCATCACTTCCTTCAATGAGTGGCACGAAGGCACTCAGATTGAGAGAGCCGTCCCTAAGAAGACACTGACACGCCTGTATCTGGACTACCTGCCGCATCAGCCGAACATGTATCTGGAGCTGACCCGCAGGTGGGCAGAACACTTCAGCAAGGAGAAGGAGCAATGGCTGATGTGATCATTCTGCATGGGAAGCCTCCATGCTCTACAGCCTGTCCTTCCTCTACGAAAAAGGTCACAGTCAAAAGAATCGGTTGTGAGATGGGTGCTTTAAGAAGCCGTTGGGAAAGCAGCTTATGAGTCACAGTGTCTGATCAGGGCTGGTAGGTTTATCCAGTGTTCTCCATGAACAGCCCGGAGGATGGTTTACAGCACCAACTCAACCACCACAGGTTGAAATGTTAGTGAGTGGAGGAGTCTCTACGCAGCTCTCAGATCTACTGCTGCTGTGAGTTTAGGACAAATGTCCCTTTTAAACCCTTCTGGATCTGAACTGGCCTGTAAGTGACCAGACCAGGGAGTGAATGAGCAAGAGATCAATTTTTCCTCCGGTGCAGATGTTTAGTGTGGTATTTTACGTATAAGCTGGGCTCCTAGCCCTAGCATGTATTTTATCCTTGGCCCCTTCACCAGTTGCCTGCTGATTATATACTCCTCACTCCACTAGCAGCTCTTAAGAGTGTGACTCCCCTTCTTAGTTGATTAAAGAGTTAATTGTTCCTCAAAATTGTTTATCATAGAAGAAACTAAACCATGCAGTTGACGACCCTTTGGTGCGGGGTGGCATCTGTGATCCATTCTACCCAAATAACTAAAAATAATTAGAGCTTGAATGCTGGTGATTTTAAACCTATTGTATGTATTGGCCACCAATGGACTGCAAATGCTCTTTTAGTGTTTCACATGTTCAAAACTTAGCCTTAACTTTGTTTTACTCTCCTCTCTAGAATCAAAAGACGTGCAACCAGTGGCAATAAACTGTAACAGAAAACACTAATGTGTTCTCCCAGAAGGAAGTTACATCACTATAGAATAAATATCCTTTTTAGTAACCATGGTACATGCAGGCCCTTCTAAATCGGTTGTTTTAAGAACTCGTTTGTACTTGTCTTTTTCTTAATAAAGTGAGAAGTGGCAGCTTTAGATCTGAGTGCATGAAACTACCTTTTTACATTAATTATGCTTAATTTATACAGATTTGGACTTGCTGCAGTTAAAGTGCTAGTGGTTTTGTTTTTCTCCATTGAAATCACTGACATTTGCATTACATCTGTCATATCTCTCCAGGTCAGTAGTTCTCCACGTGTGGTCCACAGACCGTCTTGCAGCCCCCACCAGCTCGGGGCTCACCCCCTATGCAGCAGGGAGACTGCACTGGCACTCCAGCCAAGGGGATAGAGGCAGCAAGGGGCGGAGCACCCGCACTGGTTTCTCTTGGCGGGGGAGGCCTCACAGACCAGATCCGGCTCACTGAGAAGGAAGTTCTGCCTGCTGCCACTGCCCCTCCCTCCGGCTGGGGGACCAGCAGCACAGAAAACCGCTTGCCTGGAGGCTTTCCCCGTTGCTTCCGTTAGCCAGAATAACGGCCAATGGGGACAGCGGGGAGCAGTGCCTGGGCGTGATGGGAGGCTCAAAGCCAGGTAAAGTGCCCCCCATCCCCATCATGCAACCAGCCTCCAGACCTGCTCACTTGCACCCTCCTTCTCCCCCCACTCCGCTCCTGTACCTCCCTCCCATCCAGACCCCCAACCCCACACTGCTCCTGCATCCTACCCCTCGTGCAAGAAACCGGCATTAAACACCTCAGCTACCTTCATGGCAGCCATTAGCTTTCCTTCACGGCTCAGTAGCACTCCTAGATGCACCATCTTTCTTTTAAGAACATAAGAATGGCCATACTGGGCGAGCCTCGTGATCTAGTCCCGTATCTTTTCTTCTGACGGTGGCTGGTGCTTTAACAGGAATTAACAGAACAAGGCAGTTACTGAAGGATCCATCCTCTGGTCCAGTTCCCATGCCAGGCAATTAGAGCCTTAAGGACACCCACAGCATGGGGTGCATCCCTAATGATTTTTGGCTAATCACCAGCAGTGGCCCTGTTCTCCAGGAACTTCTCTCATTCTTTTTTTTGAATCCTTCCGATTCTTTTTTGGCCTGCCTAATTCTACTTTACCACATCATTTGCCAGAGTTTGTGCTGCTTTGTAGTTTCAATAGTAGGATCTGATTTCCAATTTGTAAAAGGGGAGGGGGGTGTCTTTGTCTGTCCTCTTTTATTGTGGTGTTTAACCAAGGTGAATTTTTTTTGTCCTTTTTTAAAAATTTGTTGAGGAAATGCATTTGGTCTGAGCCTCTACTTCGGGGGTTCTATTTTCACACAGCTCGCAGGCATTTCACTCTTGCGACTATTCCTGTTTGACTCGCTTCTTCCTTTTGGGGTGGTTCCCCCTTCTGCTATTCTGGCGGGAGTCTGTGAAGTTCAATTTAATTACATTATAGTTGCTAGTAAGCCATTCAGCTATATTCATATCTTGCATCAGCTCTCGCCTCGGACTAAATCACTGTGGGTTCAAGAATCAGTCGTTAATGGTGTCTAGAAATTTTATTTCTGCAGCCCATCCAGAGGTGACATGTAGCCAGTCAAGAGGGGGAGCTGGAGCCCCCTTATTGGTTTTTATTTTTGTAGCCGCTAGTACCAGTCTGCTCAAAGGGCCACTCACGGGTTCGCACTGCTAGACGCCTATTACTCAAGCATGGACTCTCTTGGAATAGAGCTTCGATGGCAGAGTTGGATTAATTTACAATTTTCTGTTTGAATCTCTTTCTTCAACAACCTCCTGTTTGTGTGCACATTGTACCCTGTTCTTACCATGTCCCATGGATTACCATCCATCACATTTCTATACCTACTAGATCAGTCGTATCTACATTGTGACCCAATGTCCTGTTTTTAGAGGGACAGTCCCATATTTAAGCCTTCCTGCAGGTGTATCAACTTTTTCTTAAACTGGCAAATTGTCTCCATCCTGGCAAGCCCTGCTGGGAGCTGGAGCTTTCTTTGCACATCAGCCACTTGCCACCAGCAGTGAGCGCAGGCCCCAATGATTGACCATGGGGCTGGGTGTACAAGGCGGGTGGCTGCTCCCCTGCTGGTGTGTGCCAGCCAGGCCCTGCCCCAGTTCTGAGCTCAGAGCAGGCAGGGGCCAGGTTTGTGTTGGCCTTTTTCATGCTTGTCCTCTCCTTGCTTTGTGCCTTTTCTCCCTCCTCCCTATCCTCCCCACAGGGCATATCCTGCACCCAGCCCCTGGTGGAGAACCAGCCCCTAGTTGGAGTAGAGATGTTTAATCAACTAGTCGATTAGTTGATATCCCCCCCACACACACACACACACACACATCAGCCTTTTAAATGCAGTAAGAGCCGCCTGGCTTTTAATACATTTAAAAAGCAGAGGCTCAGTATCCTGGGACTGGGTGCATGCCAAGAAACAGCTGGTTCCCGGCTCATGCCTGGTCCCCGCTACCCTCCTGCCTCCCATTGGAGATAGTGCTGGGGGGAAACCAGCTTTTAAGCTGGTTCCCCCCAGTACAGGCTCCTGCTCTCCGCCCTTGCTGCCTCTTGTTTTTCTCCATTGAAATCACTGACATTTGCATTACATCTGGCATATCACTCCAGGTCAGTAGTTCTCCACGTGTGGTCCACAGACCGTCTTGCAGCCCCCACCAGCTCGGGGCTCACCCCCTATGCAGCAGGGAGACTGCACTGGCACTCCAGCCAAGGGGATAGAGGCAGCAAGGGGCAGGGAAGCAACTAGTCAGTCAACTAGTCGCTTACATCCCTAGGTTGGAGTGCTCAGCTCACCAACAGCCTGGTCCTCAGGCCCTTTTCTTCCCTCGCTGCCCCTGGCTAGGCCAATGCCCTGAGAAAACCCAAGACGCTCCAGCCTGGGTTGCCTGGGTTTCTGTCCCTCCATAGCGCTGGCCCAGGGAACCTTCTCTGCCCCTCAGCTAAGCTCTGGCATGATGGTGGAAAGTGATTTCCAGTCCATTCGTACCCATACCCTGCAGGCTCCACAACAGGCCTGAGTGTTGGCTTAGCATCCTCTTCACTTACTCCCCTCCAACACCCCCGCTCATCTCTGTGGGCAGCACATGAACCGCCTGTTCGGGGAGGCCAAGGTCTGGTCCCGGCTCCTCCCCCACCACCCTTAGTCCCAGCCCACTGGCTGGCCTTGGCCAACATCTCCAGGAGCACCAGCTGCCTGAGCACTGGGCAGGAGGCCCCAGCTCCAGAGCACCCAGTGGCCCTAATTGCCCTAAGTCCCAGCCACCCACTGGCCTACCCTACCCTCAGCCCCAGCCCACTCTGGGGAAGCAGAGCAGCCTGGCTGTGGGCTGCAGCAGCAGAGTGAGCAGCAGGATGGGGGCCCTCAGGGCAGAGCCTCCCCTGGCCTGCAAAATCTGCCACCAGCCCTGGGTCCTGCCGCCATCGAGTGCAGAGCTGCTTCGTCTCCTAGGCACCCTCCCCTTCTGAGCCACCTCTCTGGCTGGGTTTGCTGAAGCCCCTGCAGTCAGATTCCCTGGGCCCTGGTTAAGGCCAATGGGTTTAACCCCTTTGTGCCTGCACTGTAGCCAAGGAACAGGAGGCAGCTGGGTTGATAGCAGCCAGCAGCAGCCTGGAGGTGTTAGCTACCTTGTAACACGGGGAAAGTGTGGGGCATGAGTTCTGCAAAGACATGGTCCAGCTCCCCTCCCTTCTCTCCTGCACAGGGCTGAAAGGCTGCTCCCCGCCACATGCTGGTGTGGAGCCTGACAAAGCTGATGGGGGTATGTGACCCTGCATGCCCCAGAAGAGGCAGGTGGGCCCAGATAAGCATGGAGGGCCAGCTCAGTCAGTCTGCCCCTCCCCCGTGAGAGAGATGGACATGTCTGTGTGACACCTCTCCTCTGAATCCTAAACTCTTAATTAAATAAAAAGAATCCAGCTAGAGGGTCTCTCTTTGTAACAGGGGCTCAGCGAACTCCATATTAATTTGAACCCGTTTTTACTGATTGCCACTGAACGCACTTGAGTATGAATCATCACACCAACTATCCACTATTGGACATAGGGCAGTATGGGTCACCCTACTTTTTAATACCAAGTACTCACATTCATCTTTGTATTTCAACTCTTGGTGCTCATAGAACCTCTGCCTGTTACCTATTAAGTGCCTTACCCGGTGTGGCTTCTGTCCCTCATCCTTGCAGTTCTGTCCCTCCACACTTGCGCTATTCTTTTGTATTCCTCCTCAGCACTGTGTCCCTCTGTCCACTTTAAGGACCTGCCAATCAAAACATCTTAAAGGGCTCTAGGTGCAAAGTTCTACACATGGTACCAGAACATGCTCCAGTGAGTGGAAGAGTGGAACAAGCAAAACATTCGGCTCACTCACAAAAACACCTGGGTTATTAAGCCCTTCTTAATCTATTTTTCAAGATGTGATAAGAGTCCAGCTCCTCCATGCCTTGCTGTATGAAGTGGGCTGTGCTCCCAAAAGCTCATGATACCATCTACACTTTTTCTTAGTCTAAGGTGCTACAAGACTATTCGTTATTTTCTTGTTTAGCAGTGTCATCGTTGTAGAAATAAGGGTTTGACTAGCAAGTAATGGTAGGCTGTACCGTGATTAATCTTAGAAAGATGAAGCCATCACCTTCAAAAATAAACTGTATGTACAAAAGCCCCACTTACACAAAGCAGCACTGCAGAGATCCAAAACTCCTTAAACGTAAGCATTTATAACACAGAACTGTGTTAAAAACAGTTTGGTCACCAGTTTTTAAATACTACTAAATATTCCCCATGAACAAATTGATTTCATGTTAGTGTTCCCTGAATAAACAGGCTTTTAAACTGATCCTTGCCCGCAGGGCAGCTAAATAAGGAAAGCAAAGCATCACATTGCCAAGATATCACAAAGAGATGTTTGCTTATTTCAAAACCTAATAAACCCCATTGCTCAAGGCAAATGATCCCTTGTACAGTAATCAGGGATATTACACTTGCATCAGGAGGTCAGAAGTACTTGGTTCGTTTCTTACCCATGCATAGCAAACCAAGTACCCATTACACACAAATGATGAAAAGACTCCAGATGAGACGTGAGGACAGTTACAACCATTGACCTTATTAAACAAGGCCATCGCCACTGGCTTCCTGAAGAGACAGGCACACAGTGCCCAGTTTTACCGACTCTGCACAGCTTCCAGAGTTTGGGATTCATGAACAAGAAGGTTCTGGTGTCAAGCCATATTTCTTCCCCAGGATTTCAACTGTCGGTGTCAGTGCACTGTGGAAATAAAGGCAAACGGAGTAGTGACTAGACAGGAGTTTCCCTTTGCAGGGCTCAGTTAGCTCCATGGTTAGTTTTGTATTTTGCAGTTAAGGGAGGATTTGAGAACAAGCTGCACAAAGTCACCTTCAGCTGAGCAGTGTGAAAAAGGGGCATCTTATGAA